TCATCTTCAAATTCCTTCACTTTGAAAATAGTTTTTTTTTTTCAGGAAAAAAAAAGCTGAAGCTCTTTTCTGTGACCAACAAAGACTGAACATCTTATGAAATATAAATGATAACATACCTTTAGTTTCTAAGTTTCTAATGACTGGTTTGCGTTGCCCACCCCCCCCTCTCTCTCTCTTGATTGCATGATTGAAATTTAGCAATGCCTAAAACAACATAACAACATAAGATCGACCTTCTTAATTCATTGTGTACAGTAGAGTAGCGACAACAGACCGATGACAACGGATTGACTTTCCGTATCTTGTCATGACAACGGACATAAATTGAAATTAATCAAAATTTTCAGTTTTAATTTGTTCTCATTTTTTCTGTAAAGGCTTACAACATGTTTTGATACTATCTGCACCAGTTGGTGTGTATATTGTATTCTATTTACGAAAAATATAACTTCTCAGTAGGAAAATGAATCAAATCCACGTGTGATTTCAACAGGTTTTATTATCGCCATCGCAAACTCTTCTTTGATTACTTCTTTTAAATGGCTTAAATTCACACAACACCAAAAGGGGTGTCAGCCCTGTTCCCATTGCAATTTCAGACATTGTTACAAATAATTTACCTTGAAAAATGTAAAACTACTCACGACATGTCTTCTTTAATCATGACAACGGACGAATATTAGCATAATCTCACCTATATGCATGACAACGAACCAGTTCCAGTGTTTAACTTTAAAGGTTTCTGACAACTACGGAAGCTAATTAGTGCAATTTTGACACTTTTTATTTTTTTAATTTCTACACTTTAATGTGTAAAATTTACAATTTACACTTTAATCTGTAAAATTTACACTTTAATCTGTAAAATTTACACTTTAATCTGTAAATTTTACAGATTAAATTGTAAAGATTACACTTTAATCTGTAAATTTTACAGATTAAATTGTAAAAATTACACTTTAATCTGTAAATTTTACAGATTAGTGTAAAATTTACATGTTAATCTGTACAATTTACACTTTAATGTGTAAAATTTACACTTTAATGTGCTTAATTCACACTTTAATCTGTAAAGTTTACACTTTAATCTGTAAAATTTACACATTAGTCTGTAAATTTTACAGATTAAAGTGTAAAATTTACACATTAATCTGTAAAATTTACACTTTAATGTGTAAAATTTACACTTCAATGTGTAAAATTTACACTTTAATCTGTAAATTTTACACATTAATCTGTACATGTAAATTTTACACTTTAATTTTAAAAAAACGTGTACTGTAATCTGTAATAATCGAACGGTCGTTCATTATGTTATACCTAGGACATATGAAAAATAGTATAAAACTGAGATGTTCACATGTGTTTGCGTAAAAGTTTATACATGTGTATACGATAAATAAGAATGGGCGGTTTGCTCATGTGCCTCGTAATTTTCCCCAACAAAATATCGGGATTCTGCTTTCAATCCAATATATTTCTTTAATACTATAGTAAAGAGCGACAAACAGTAATAAATATATATCTCAAATATTTTTGTCTTCTCATTTGCAGTTCAGATTGATATACAAGTTTATGAGTCCATGATCATGATGTAAAATATAACAGTTCAAATTACCGTCATTTTAGAACGTAACAATAAAGAAACATCATTGAATCAAAGGATATTAATTTTATGCTGTTCCAAAATTAATATAAACTCATATACTTTAATTATTTATACATGTACATACTTTAATAATGAATATTTTAATTGTTTATTTAAGAATTCTCAATTCAGTAAGTAATTCAATTGTTGCCCGTAATACATGTAGAATGTAATTTAATTAATGCTATCAATAATTGAACTGCTGAGCGCATTTAATGAATTTGCGTATAATTATATCAATATCATATTTATTGAGAAGATATATATATGTGTTGATTTGCTCTTCACTTCCACTGAATTCATAATTCTTTCAAATATTCTATGAAAGTTTCATATTAGTCATACTATATTGCTTACTATTTGTATTATATCCATACATAAAAAATCTGATAAGTAATTATTTTCCACATTATTGTTCAATAAAAAATTAAAATTAAATTTTATCATGCAAGATTCATGGTTTGTTGGCTTTAAAGCCTGTTACTTAAGATGAATGAAGTTGCCAAATTGATTATCTGAATTAAACAGGAAAAAAAAGTGTAGATTTTACAGATTAAAGTGTAAACTTTACAGATTAAAGTGTAATTTTTAACACATTAAAGTGTGAAAGTGTGAATTTTACAGATTAAAGTGTAAATTTTACACATTAAGGTGAAAATTTTACACATTAATGTGTAAATTTTGCAGATTAAAGTGTAAAATTTACAGCTTAAAGTGTAAAATTTACACATTAATCTGTAAAATTTACAAAGTGTAAAGTGTGGAAAATGAAAAAAAAAAGTGGCATTAATACGCTTCCGTAGACAACGGTACTGTCTAGGAGCTTAACGCGTTCCTGGTCGTGTAACAAGTAAACAAATATCAAATTTAAAAGATTTCTTACCATTTAAGGATTGTTATGTCTGGCTTACATGGTTAAAAGAACAATATGAGTAAAAGGAGTTACCTGTGTAGTGTATATACGGAGAATGAAGTAGTAACTCACTTTATAAATCAGATGAAAACGTGGTCTGTGGTTTTGAAAATGCGAATTAGGTCAGTGACAAGCAAAAATACATACCAGTAAACACCCTGAGAGAGAAAGAGAGAGAGAGAGATGACGCATTTTAGCCTCACCATCGTTTAACGCCTTCTAAAGAGGGATAATATTCGTTAACGTAAGAACTTAAGAAATTTTACTTGTTAACTTTACAATGTTTGGAAATGCTAGATAAAATTGGAAATAAACCAAAATTTCTTACTTGGGCAGAGTAAAAAAGGAATGAAAGTGAAAGTTTTGTTTAAAGTCATCATTTTCCAAATTCTATGATCGATACAATGACTTTGTCAGTAAATACAATTTATCATTAAGTCAAATACTGACTGACGTTTTTTCATACTTAGCCATTATTTACACGCTGAATTGTCCATTTGCCCGATCATGACAATGAGCATATGGCGAGATCAACACTTCAAAAGGGGTTGCTTACTTCTCCTTGGCTCCCGATTCGTATTGTTTAAATGGACTTTTGAATTTGGATACGGTTAGTTATCTCAATATTTCATTTGAAAATGGATTAGAATACTAAAATCTTATTTGAAAAAAAAAAACATTGTTTTGAAATGTCAACTTTTAATTACTGATGATTCTATATAGGTGAAACTGCATTCACAAGCTTTTCCTAGTACTGTTTTGTCTTTGAAAAAAAAAACTTGTCCATTATTTTCCATTTTTTATCATTTCTGTTAGCTGAAGTAGGAGAGGCATAGAAGATGTCATAATCACGTTTTTAAACATAAAATGCATAAATTTTACGACAAAATAGCAATTATTCTTGAAAACTACATGTAGTAAAAAAGGAAAACTCCATCTTCATACTTTGATAGGTAAGCAACTCTGAATATTTCCATATTTTGATTCATCTTTAATAAATAAAAATAATATATTTGTGATTTTCATTCATTTCAGTAATAAGATACTTATTTCAACAGTTTTTGTTTCGGTGAATAAATTAAAAATAATTATTAATTCTAAATTGAAATGTTACAGACCAATAGCTTCAAAAACAAGATGTGTTTGTGAAACACAGATGCCCCCGTATGGCAGCTTATGGCAAAGGTTAAAGTTCCTCAAATGCAAGTCAAAATCCAGGCCAAAAGATAAAAAATGTTAAATTTGAAAGCCCTAGCTGCAACTGCTCAAAAGTTATGGCGAAGGTTAAAGTTTTTTAAAAGTAAGTAAAACATCAAGGTCAAGGTCAAAGTTGTTGGTATCCAAAGGAGGGTCTTGTCACAAGGATTACATATGTAAAGTATGAAAGCCCTAGCACCAACCATTCAAAAGTTATGGCAAAAGTTAAAATTTTTCGAAAGTAGGTCAAACTCCTATGTCAAGGTCAAAGGGTCAAAGTGGTTGGTATCCAAAGGAAGGTCGTGTCACAAGGATTACATATGTAAAGTATGAAAGCCCTAGCACCAACCATTCAAAAGTTATGGCAAAAGTTAAAGTTTTTCAAAAGTAGGTCAAACTCCTATGTCAAGGTCAAAGGGTCAAAGTGGTTGGTATCCAAAGGAAGGTCTTGTCACAAGGATTACATATGTGAAGTACGAAAAGCCCTAGCTCTAACCGTTCAAAAGTTATGGCCAAGGTTAAAGTTTTTCAAAAGTAGGTCAAACCCCAAGGTCAAAGGGTCAAAGAGGTTGATATCCAGAGGAAGGTATTGTCACAAGGAATACACATGTGAAGTTTGAAACCCCAAGCTCCAACTGTTCAAAAGTTATGGCCAAGGTTAAAGTTTTTCAAAAGTAGGTCAAACTCCAAGGTCAAGGTCAAAAGGTCAAAGTTGTTGGTATCCAAAGGAAGGCCTTATCAAAAAAAATACGCATGTGAAGTTTGAAACCCCAAGCACCAACTGTTCAGAAGTTATGGCCAAGGTTAAAGTCTCAAAAAATTTTGCAAAAGTGGGTCAAACTCCAAGGTCAAGGTCAAAAGGTCAAATATGATGGTACCCAAAGAAAGGTCTTGTCACAAGAAATACACATGTGAAATATGAAAGTCATAGCTCCAACCAATCAAAAGTTATGGGCAAGGTTAAAGTTGACAACAGACAGACAGACAAACAGACAAACAGAAAACAGACAAACAGATAAACACACAAACAGATAAACAGACAAACAGACAGACAGAACAAAAACAATATACCCTTGGGATCTTTGGATCCGGGGGCATAAAGATTATTACCGTAACTTTAGTTTGTATCATTTTCAATGTGTATACCTGATAAATATAATATGCTAGACATTTCAACCTTGATAAAATTACCAATAAAATAGACATTTTATGCAGTATGAATGAAAAATAAAGTATGCCCTAAGTATCATCACAGGTGAGATAGTTCTGAAGTTTTATATACTTGTATACGTTCACTTTGTTGTTGATGGAAGATCCGACTAATAGCAAGTGATTTCTGAAGTCATAAGCTAGACTTTGTGGATTGTAGACCCCGTCTCTTTTTGTTAGTAGTCGTGACAGAAAGTGGCCATCTTCATTTATCATCTGCACTGAGTATGTCGTACCATCACACACAAGGATGTGTGACAGGGCGTCTGTACAGACTCCATAAGGGTATAATCGTGGCCCTGATGGAGGTCCTGTGTAGGAAAAGCGATATCTCCCTCGTCGATCTGTCACCACAACAGCACGGTTGTTGTCTGACACAACCACATCTCCATTACTGTTCTCTGTGATGTATCGAGGTTTACTGTACAGTTCTTGACCTGCACTGTTGTGTTGAATGGTCTGGACCTGTCGTCCTTTGCTGTTGTATCGAATTATTTTAGCTTCTGAATATTGATCTTCATCTGCGTCATAAATTCCATTCCCTACCAGTAGATCTTTAGTGGAAGAGCAGTAGATACAAAGAGGTTCCCATGTTTCTGGTTTCTCTATGAGTATAATTTTTGTTTTTGTGTAGGATGATATTTTACTAATGTTTAAATCGTTGTCTATATAAAGTAGGTCATTTGCAGAGTTCATTGTATGTACACCACCACTACTTTTCTTGATGACTGTTAGATGATATAACGTGTGGCCTTTGAGATTTGTCAAGAGGAGACTTACTCCATCACTAATAGCCACCAGGTCTGTTGTGGAACAGGAAAGATGATACCCACGTCTAACAGTGGCTACACTGACACATCCACGGGACTCAGCTGGGTGTTTCCATTCAAAAAAGCGTTCGGATTTTACGCGCCTTTTCCCGCCTTCGGTGATTTTGATTTCTTCTAAGATCTTTATGAAATTCTGTTTGTTGAATTTAAACTTCGGATGGAGAACGGTGGGTGTAGAGGTTTCTGAAAGGTCTTTCATCGTGTTCACGGGGGTGTTCTTTCGAAAGAAGAAACGTGCCTGTGTTTTTTCTGATCTTTCATAATTATGCTTCTTATCCTGCCAGACGGAAATTTGTCTATTTATACATTTCTGTTCTCGTTGCAGTTCAGTATCTTTTATTTTTGAAATTGGACTTCTCTTTAGAAAAGAAAGGAACTGTGCGGACTTGTTGGCTAATTTTTCAAATTTTAGTTCATAGTTTTCTATGTTTTCAATTTTTCTCTGTTGTTGTGATATGAATTTCAGATAAAGTTTCAGTTCATCTAAGTGTTGTAGACTCAAATCCACCTGATCTTTTAGGATCTGACCTTTGGAAGCCATATTTATCTGTAACATTGCTATTTTTGTTTGACTCGTGCAGATGTCAGATTTGATGTCATTCAAAATAGCAAGTCTGTACGGGAGAATCTCACTTCTGATGTTCGCAATTCTGTCTTTATGTAATTGTCTGTGAAAATTAAACACTGACGTTATTTCAAAAAAATCATGTTCTTGGTGACCTTCACACTTGACGCAGATCGGATATTCACACGAATGACACCATATTTGAAATGACATGTCGGGATGTTTTTCACATGATTCCGTTTTCCTAAAGTATCTTTTCTTTAAACTGTAAATCCTGACGTAATGATGTTTAGAGTCCAGATGAATGAGGTGCTTCTCCTTACAAAAAGCGCAGAGATCTTGCTTACATGTGTGACAGTGGAATTCTAAATCACGTGAACATTGTGAACACTGTTTAACTTTCACCGATGTGGTGAAAGTCCTATCCACTGTTGTCGCAAATCGTGATATATTTTCCTCTTCTTGAGCTTCAAAATTTAAAAGTCTTTTAACCAGTTTACCCTTTTCATTGCTCTGATTATGCAATCTAAAAATAAGGAAAAATGTTAGGGTTTGTTTTGAAATCAATTGACTTTTTTTTCTTTTTTTTATTTGTAAATAAGATGTACATTTATATGGAACAATGTAATATATATTGATTTTAAATGCATGTATATATATTTAAATTGGTCGAAAAGGATGATCCTCTATAAGGCCATTTTCCGGCCTACGATAAAATCACTTAAAAATTAGACTTTATGTAACTTTAATCATTCTATTTAATGATTCTGGTTTTTGTTTTTCAACATTGATCGCCTAAGTCACATGATTTAGAAATAACAAATGGTGGTCAAGAAATGAAAAATTGAGGGTAGGTCTTGAAACATTAGGTTTTTATGCATATTTCTAAATTTAAATGATCAAAAATTGTTTATTTATGTAGGACATATATCAAATTAAAGTAATAAATACAAAGTTTGTTTCATTTAAGGATTAAGATAAATTTTTATGACGTGGATTTTGACGCATTGACATTTTGCATATTTTGACTGTAAATCTTTACAAAATGCACACCATATGATGTTAAAAAAGTTTAATTATTATTCAACTTAAAAGTATTATTTCATGTAAAATTTATATGTAATTGTGCATTGTTTTTATAAGATATACTACCAATTTTACGCATGAAATGCTCACATAAGAAATATGGTTTCGAAGTATCATTGAAGTTTTTTGTTTGTGATTGAATAAAAATTGAGTTGGTATGAATAGAACAGATTCTAAATTAACAAAAAATTAAGACTCCATTAACGTACAGAATTAAAATATTAATCTAAGTACATGTCGATTAATCATATTAGTAGTGAATATATAAAACTAAGAAAGGCTGTTTTAAAAATATATACTGGTATGTAAAATGAGTTAACATCATAAGAATTGCTTTGATTTCATTTTATTTCGCATGTATAACAATATATTTAATTAAAAATGGTATTTAAAATATAATACACAAATGTATATGTAAAAGTCAAATCTCCCCAACCCCAACCCCAACCCCACCCCTCCTTTTTAAAGGCACCCCCCCCCCCAAAAAAAAACGGGGAAGATTTTCAACAGTTCCTTTCACTATACATATCTAACGTTTTAGCTTATCCATGGACTAACATCCCAGGTACAAAATGGGCCCTAAGGGATTGACACTCGCTTCGAACTCCTGAGGTTCAAGGGTTCGATTCTCGTTCCCAATGCCGCGTCAAAAACTAAGGCATTTAACACGGCTACTGACTGTTCCTTTGATAAGTCTTCGGCGTTAAAAGTAAAACTAATGGGTCTTTTATATATTACCTTAAAAAAGGAGGTCGCGCCGATAATGAAACCATGCATAAATCAAAAATTGTGACATTTGCCTACAGCGGATAAACTCTTTATTTGGGTGAAAAAAAATTCTAAAATGGCGTAAAGCAACATTCAAACGTCAATCACATGTAACCTTAGGGAACTCCTCTCTCCCTTGAAATTTCATTTTCAAGACCGAACTGCTGTTCCTGTAGATAATAATGCTACCAAAAATGTGTGTTGCTTCCTGAAATCCAAATAGACTGAGTCCTCTCAACACAAAATATTTGGATCTTATGTCACTCATACAGAAAAATATGGGGGTCCTTCTGAAAGATGAGGCTAGAATTCTAGTTATGAAACCATCCCATCAGTAATTCACTATCTATGGAAGTTACATGTGATCCTATAGAAAAATACGTTAGTAGCACAAATAGCAAATGTAGCTTCCCACTATACAACAAAGATATCTTTTACCACTTCTAGTACTAACAGATTTGCAGTATTCCTAAGGAATAAATACAAAAATGTAGCATAAATAAACTTAACTATAATAATGATAATAAAATAATAATAATTATAATAAGAACTTATATTCACACCTGGGTACGTAAAAAAGGGATTTTTTTTTCCTCTTTATTTCCAGCAGACAGTTCAATGAAAGTTGACTTCACGTGTAATTTCATAACTTCCAGTCTTTCCAGTACTTTGATTTTAGATTTTTTGGTAAAAAGTGGACAAAATGCATGATATATATATATATATATATATATATATATATATATATATATATATATATATATATATATATATATATATATATATATATATATATATATATATATATATATATATATATATATATATATATATATATATATATTCTATTTAACAGAAAAATGTAATCTAACTGAAAGTTTACAATATGAAATAATCTACATAAACTGATGGCCTTCATATTCATTTATTAGATTTTACTGCAAATATCGTAAAAGTGAAGCGAAAAGTTTTTATTTACATGTCGTAACCACCTTAAACCAAGTCAATAATCTGAGTGTCACTTTTTGTGTTTATAAGAAGCTTACATATAAATTTTGGTTTTGGTTTAAGGTGGTTATGACATGTGTATGAGTTGCCTAACACAGCCACCCTCTTGAGTTTTCCCATTACCCTAATGCTAATAGTGACTGATAGTATACTATTTTGTGACCTTATATCATAACAAATATTATAGCATCATTAACTAATCAACATTTATCATTAAATTGGATCATTAGCCTACTGATTCATGCAATTTTTAAAGAAAAAAATACTACTTGAAAATTTGAAGTCATTGTAGGCCGCAAAACGGCCTTATAGAGAATGGTCCTTTGCTGAAGTCTGTCAATAATATTCTATGCGACGTCGTATTATCTCCATACTTGATAGAAATGTTTTAACAATTAATTCAAATAATTCTTTTTAATTTAAATATATATCATGGCATCTTTCAAACTTTAAAACTGCGAAAGCTGCTCACGGAATAGGTCAAAATTTAGCAATTTTCAAACAATACACTAGATGATGTCTGTAGTCATGTCTCTGTAAACTGAATCAGAAACGAAAAAAATGTAGACATTTAAACTAAAAATCTGAAAATTCTAGAGTAATTCTGAAGATGCTGGAAAGAAATACGCCTTTAATTTGTTTGTGAAAGAAACAGGCGGATTTTGAAAGGTTATACTGATATTCTCTTTCAGACGGTCTGTGAGATAACGAATTATCAGTAGGAGTTAGTAATGTCATGGAAAAAGATGGTTAACTGATGTAGAGGTACGCGGATAAAAAATATAAATCATTGACACGCATTCATGCTACGTGTAGTGGAAGTATTGTTGGCCAAATAAATGCCTATTTGTAAAATAACTTTCTAAATAAGTGTGTATTTTTCTAGACTGTGTGTAAGAAGTAGAGGAATAGTATTTTTGAGAAAAGAGCATGCTCTGAGCACTATCATTTTTTTTTAACCGAGACAGGCTACTCACACATAAGTTAATGTTACGGAGATTTCAACAACCTCGTTTGAAGACAGTATTTCATAAATTCTATGGTCGTTATAATTACCTTATTAGCAAATATAACGTATCACTGGGTCGTATTTTGGCTGACTTGTTTCATACCAGTTAAGCCTTTGTTTCTATATTAAATTTGACTACGGAATGTTCCATCTACCTGATCAATACAAAGAGCTCGCAGCGTTGGTTTATATCCTGTACACAGAATTGTATTGTTCGCAGTTTTATAAGATTGATCGCTGTTCGTTTTCGTCGCCTTTTTCTTTTTTACTTTACAATATTGTGAATTGTGTTCTGGTGAAACAAACATTTTGATTAACAAGACATGATTTCTAGTTCATCAAATGCAAAAAAAATCAAGCATCAACAAAATAATACATTTATATCGTGCGGGTTTTTTTTTCAAGAAAAATAAAGAAATTGGCAAGTAATTTTCTTCCGCATGAGATTAGAACAAATTTTTAACCTAACGGATATAACGAATCAAAGTTAAAATGAATCAACATCGTCTTTCCCAGGCAAATTGTTTCAAAGGTGTTTTACTGTATTTGCAATTTATTGTCAAAAAGAAAATTATTTTACATATCTACACTATATTACAAATTTATACATCGGATATACTTCAAAATATTTCGATTTAGGAGTCATTAACAGTCATTTTAATACTAAAGTTCAATGCTGATTATATGTTTGCAGAAAAACGTGTATTTGATTAAATCACAGAAGCTACTTACGTCTCTTTCAAAAATTGACATCTGGAAGTCGTCATTGATATTTTCAGTTCCTATGGAGAGAAGATATTTGTACATTTATGCCGTTAAATACGTTCACTGTGCATGTATTCATTCAATACAATCATAAAAGATAATTTCAATAAAATTTGCTTTGCACGTCTTTCATACAAGTGATAAAAACTATAAACTATTTATAATCGTTCACAACTGTTACATGTTTATTAAATTTTGAAATGCACTTTATGCAAGTAAATGATTCGTTAATCGACTATTTTTCCTTGAGTGCCTTACACTTTTTAATGAATGTTTTAGAGTCATATCCGGTACTTTGCACTTTAATAAGGAAGTAAGGTTTGAATATACAAACGAGGCT